CCTTCCTTCCTTCCTTCCTTCCTTCCTTCCTTCCTTCCTTCCTTCCTTCCTTCTCATTTACTCAGAATTTTTCCTTCCTTCCTTCCTTCCTCCCTCCCTCCCTCCCTCCCTCCCCCCTCCCCACTGATCGGTATCCTTTTGCTCCCAATCCAGAGAATCCGAGCCACTGTGAATACTCAGGAGCAGAAGAGGCTGGTGATGGACCTGGATGTCTCCATGAGGACCGTCGACTGCTTCTACACCGTCACGTTTTACGGAGCTCTTTTCAGAGAGGTAGAAAAGAAATCCAGAACTCACTGGGGAAAGCCAGTCTGGGTTCAAATGCAGGTCGTCCTTGACTTACGACCATAGTTGAGCCCAAAATTTCTATGGCTAAGTGAGACGGTTGCTAAGTCAGTTGTGTCCCGTTTTATGACCGTTCTCACCACAAGCTTTTAAGCAAAATCACTGCAGTTCTTAAGTTAGTAACCCCATGGATTTTGCATGTCTGAAGGTCACCAAAGGGGAAATCCATACCCTAGCCCTGCAACCGTCATAGGTACATGCCAGTTGCTAAGCCTCTGAATTTTGAGCACGTGACCTTGAATGGATGCTGCAACGGTCGTAAGTGTGAAAAACGGCCATCAGTCGCTTTTGTCAGGGCTGTTGTAGTTTTCAGCGGTCACCAAACAAGTGGTTGTGAGTCAAGAATCACCTGTACAAGTCTCTCTTCCTCAATAATGATGGGATGCGTCCTCTGATCCGAGCAGGGATAATGGGACCTAAGAATTTTTGGAAGGACTGAAAATCTCTTCTCTGGTTCACAGGGTGATGTGTGGATCTGCATGGAACTGATGGACACGTCGCTGGATAAATTTTACAAGAAGGTTCTGGAGAAGAAGAAGACCATTCCTGAAGACATCCTAGGAAAAATAGCCGTGGCTGTGAGTGTTACCTTTATGCCCGTGTTTACCAAAGCAGCTGTAGGCAGGACAAAGAAGCAACGGATGGAAGCTCACCAAGGAGAGAAGAAACTTAAAACTAAGGAGAAAATCCCTAACAGTGAGAACCATTAATCAGGGGAACAAATTGCCTTCGGAAATTGTTAATTTGGGCGTATCCTAAATGAAAAACCTCACCCCCGTCGCCTCAGTCTCCTTGGGTCTGGTTTGTCTGCACAGTTTTAAAATATCAGTGCGTCGTTTTAAAAACTTTAATAGTTTTTTCTATTTATCTTTTTATATTCTGTAAGCCGCCCAGAGTCGCCTTAGCAGGGAGACAGAGGGCATATAAATGTAATGAACAAATAAACCAAATAATGCAGCGATTTGTAGTTGTTTACTAGTGAGTCAAGGACGCAGTTTGGATCTGCTGCGATGCTGGTGTAAAAGAGAGTTTGAGGGTTTTGTTAGGGGTATTTGAGACCAGAAAAATGGAATTAAATGGCTGTGCCCCGTATAGCAGCTAGAAAGTGTGAGAGTGTCCCACAACTTAACGGGTGTATCTGTTGTTTCTCCCCCTTTTCTCCAGATTGTCCGAGCCCTGGAGCATCTCCACAGTAAACTGTCAGTGATTCACAGAGGTAAGGTTCAAATTGCAGATCCCATCAGGTTGACAGAGAAAGCAGCTGAGGGT